CCACAAAAGGTACAGAAGTTTCATCAACAACATCCTCATAAACCTAAGCCGGTTCGACAATAGCTTCTTTCTGAAGCTTGCTCACCCAAGAATATAAGAAAGGGAGAGAGCACCACCAAAATTCGTAGTTGATGTAGTTATTTTCTCCAAGATAAAATAGAATTTTTTCAGTAGCCATAGTTTGGTCTTCTGATATGGATAGCCAAGAGATAGATACTATGTCAATCAGATTATCTCAACCAACTAGTTCATGAAGGCAACCCTGAGATGAAGAACTACCTGCTCCACGACGACGACGGAGGATACCAAGTAACCGATCACTGGTGATTGTATTTGAGTCCAAGCCTGCTTACGATGGTCAACCGAAAGGCATATTTACATGAAAATTTCACAATGAAGACACGAAAGTTCATGCTTGGTCAGAAGTTGAAGGAGTGGGCCACTACCGTTGGCTTCAAGGGCCGATGAACCACTTACCTCGTGAACAACAATCGGAGTTTATAGGAGACGTTATGTGACAGATCTTCATTTTCTTGCGTTGGTACTGATTGACAACAACATTGCTTCTCAGAGACCTCGAAGCTAAAGGAAGGGGTGATGTTAGGGACATAGTCCTTAGAACCTTCTAGAGACAAGTTTCTAGAACCTTCTAGAGACAAGTTTCTAGAACCTTCTAGAGACAAGCTTCTAGAACCTTCTAGAGACAAGGTTCTAGAATCTTCTAGAAGCAAGTCTCTAGAACCTTCTAGAAGCTTCTTAGTTGGTAGAAGATGTTAGGGACATAGTCCTTAGAACCTTCTAGAGATAAGTTTCTAGAACCTTCTAGAAGCTTCTTAGTTGGTAGAAGATGTTAGGGACATAGTCCTTAGAACCTTCTAGAGATAAGTTTCTAGAACCTTCTAGAAGCAAGTCTCTGGAACCTTCTAGAAGCTTCCTAGTTGATAGAAGTTGCTTGAGAAGCTTCCTAAATAGGAGTATATATTGGGATCGAGGCTGAAGAGTTCTTCAGTCTCGACAACACATCTCTTGGAGCTCTAGCTCACCTCTTTGGTGTTGTTCTCATCTGTTTAATCTAGTTCTTGCCAGTTCTTCTTGAGCTTCTTGTTAGATCTCGAGTCTATATTTTTGTGTCCGTGACACAAGTTCACAATTCAAAATCATATTTGTAAAAAAATAGCATATCCATTTGAAAGGAACTATACAAAAGAATTAAAATAAAAATTATTATTATTATTATTATTATTATTGCTATTAATTATATAATTAAATTAAATAGATGACTTCAATGAAGTTCTTATATCTTTTTTAGGACACCGATTAAATTTACTGTTGCCACATATAAAATCTATTGATAACACAATTGCACCAATGAATCAAACAATCCAATTCTTGTGTTTTGCTCTTAAACCAAGTTATATTTTTTTACTTCAGTTCTTTATAATCATGAGTTCTCTTATAATAGATATAATTTACATCTCTATTAGAATACAAACATATTTTTTGGTTATTTATTTCATGCTAAAATAAAAGTATAATAACCAATAAGATGCAATTACATCAATTACACACAAAAAAATACGCAATCATACACAATCATACATAACATTACCTAATAATCTAATAAAATTCAACACATGTATAAAAATACAACAACACATCTATAATATATTGTACTTTATTACAATGTGTTACAAAATAAACTCATTTTCTAATGCAATATAAATTTCAATGTTGATTTATAAGTATAAAAAAATAGAAAACATAATTAAGTATAATGAAAAAATCTAGATAAATTTGCTTCTTGGATATGCCACCTGAGTAACAATCTTCTTATATTACATGCAACTAAAAAAAAATTAAAAATCATTTAACAACATTCTTTTAAGACTTGGCAACAAATTACGTATATATATACATAAAATCAAAAGGTAGAAATGTTGACTTTAAACAAAAATGTTCAATATTCTCTTGTATGACATTTTATACCACAAAAGTACACCATTAAAAATGTTACTGGAATAAACATTGATTTTGGCAATTCTCCCTTTTCCTATTTCAGTTTCTGTCTTGAGATTTTTACCTGCTGCACGTGTTATTATTTCTTCTTCTTGTACTGGTAGATGCAATATTTATTTATTTATTTATTAATTATTCATTCAACCGAGGGAGGGAGTCCACAAGGTACAGAAAGTCATATTTGCAAAGCAATACTCACACCTCCCACGTTTCTTGCATTTAATTTTTTCTCACAAAGATTTCTATCTTCTGTTTCTCCTTTTGCATATTACGTTTTTCATTGCAAATGCAGTTATATGTTTTTATTTATTTACTTACTTATTCTCTCCATTCATCTACTTTGCTCCCCAGTACACTGAGTGTATATATATATATATATATATATAGACACACACTGCACCCTAGTAGCCAATAATTGTAACATTTAGTTAGGATAAACATACATTCATATATATATATATATATATATATATCTACACATTATTTTTTCTTTTCTTTTCTTCATTTTTTATGAAACGTTACATCGTTATTGATAACAATGTAACTCAGTTGTGAAAATTCTGATTACAATGTTTGAGCTCATCGCATGCGCAGGGGTAGCTAAAGAATGCGAGCCATGCGGTGCCACGCTATCTTCGTGGTGCAAGACTTTTATTGATAAAAAACAAAAAGAAACAAACTGACGCATTTTGTTTCTTTTTGTTTTTGATAAATAAGGCCTTCCTCTGTTCAATGAATGTTACCGATCACATTTGGTTGGCAAGGGAAGAAGCTGACGTTATTACGTTAGCTCATTCCAGGGAACAACAAAATGAATAGATTCGCCAATGCCTATGCCAAAGCCGAATTAAGCTTTACTAGTGACATAGTTCCGCGAAGTACCACATGCACAAACACATCAGTACATTTTTGACATTAGGCTGGGAAGAGTGTAAGTCATATTGTGTTCTGTGTGTGACCGTCGGTTGCTATTCCCTCGCTAAGATACCTAATTGAGTGATCGCTGCAAGCGGCTGTGTCGGTGTCACAGATGGTTTGCTATCATTCCAGTATTTTCTGTTGGTTTGCATGCTGGAGAGTGGATTTAGCAATGGCAAGAAGGGCAGTGTTGTTGTTTGAGTGACTTGAATACTCTCTGATAATGCGCATGCCGCAAGTGACGATGTCGTGGGTACTTTTAGACTTGTGCGCTTTCAAAAGTTTCAGTTGTTGGCTTGATCGTGCTCGAGACGTCTCTGCTAGAATTTTAGGCTATGAGTCTGCTTCGAGCTACTTTTCGGACTTTATCACATCGTCCTGGGATACAATTTGGGCTTGCTGTTTTCGAAACATTCAAGTTAACCTTGAAGAAAATTGCTCGAACTTTACCGACTACTAATTCCTCGCTGCACGTCATCATCCACAGCAGAAAGCTCTTGTTTCGAACTCTGGATGCAGTGCAACGTTGACGTAAAGCCAAGTTCGCCCCATTGTTAGATGACCTAAGCAACTATGAACTGATCATGTAGCGAATACTTTTAAGGGATGGTTCTAAACGCACTTTTCAGCAAATCCACCTGGTGTCTCTAGCAGATTGACTGATTTTCCTTTTTGTTAGATTCCCTGTAAGGCGTCGCTCAATCAGCACGCACGTAAGTCGAATTCATCGATGCGGAGCCTAGCTTGAGATCCCCGCACAAAATGCCATTTGCAGTATGACCATATAGGTTCCATGCATATGCATGAGCAGTATTGGGGCAGTTCTTTGGGGACTCCATGGACTATTACTGCGACAAATGAAACAATTGGCCATTCTCTGACCTAGGATGGAGCAGAAGATTAGAGGAAACTTCAAGCCCCTTACTGGATTAGACGCAGCAAATCCGACAAAATGAGGCTAAGAACAAGAGGAAGACACTAATGGTGGACTTTTAGATATGCATCGGTGGTGCAAAGACTCTTATCGTTGTCATCCTCGTTCTTGCGCTAATCACTTAAGTGACTGGCACCAAAAAGCCCCAATCCAAATGAAAACACTTCTGCTCAGGGCATGGCACTCACAGTACTTGGTATCCAGCTATTTGAAAAGTCCCATCTCAGCCTCCGCTCAACGGTGAAATCATTGATGCAGAATACTTTGTAAGCTGATACCTCCTGAAGCCGATGTGGTACTTTTTGATTGTCAGCCGGTGCTCTACCTACTGGGGATCACAAGCACAAAACAGAGTGGCGTAGGTTCTCAGTACTGGTAGACGGCCACGCCATTTGTGACATAGCGTAAGCTCTTGAGATTCCTAACTTAATTGTGTACCCTCCATTTAAGGTCCGTTGGTGACTTTCCATAAGAAACCTAGCATCGTTCGACTGCTCTTAACGCCATATTTTAAGTCAATTGAAATCTAGTGATATTCCAGTTTTTGAATGTGACTCAGTTACTTTTTGCGGAGTTACTTAATCTCTACCACAGGTTTTAGAATTACTCGGCCACTATGAAGTTTTGGTCATGATAATTGTCCTGATGTTGCGATGTTCCCAACATAGTGGTAGAAAGCTGTTGCAGGTCGGTTACGCTCTTGGGTAGATTCCTCTCAAGATGAGCTGTGTCGTAGGACAAGAGATAAGTATCCATTTCCACCGCATCACCGTGAAGCTTCCATTCCCAAGGATGGCAAGCGACACAGTTGCGAACATGCGTGGAATGGCAACTTCCGCAACCCTCACGCATTGGAAGGAGGCAATTGGTTGGCGGACCCTACACCTTCAATCGCTTCACTGACACTCGCATTAGATAAATCCAGAATGTGCGTACTAGAGCAAAAAACGCGGCCAAGCAGGAACTCTTGCGGTACTGTAAACGATTCCGAAAGGTACTTTAAGAGAATCGTCATCTCCCCGTCCCCGAGCATCTTGGGAACTCTGATATATATGCTACCTCGACACAGAACTCATGGGTGCTGATGCATTTGTGTCGATACATGAAACATTACAGAATTTTGAGCACGTGATTTACGAGACGTAAGGTGTCGAAATTCAATAAAAAGTTCTCGTAATAGACCACATCAAAATCTACAAGTCTCCAGACTTTGATCCGATTGTGGATCATTGTCTTGTTCGAGAGTTCCTCACAGATAAATTTTTGATGTAGTTTCTAAACTTTTAGGTGTACAAATTACAGCTTCTGGATCTATTCCTGAAGACGTGAGACATGTTTCTCAGGTCTACACAGTGAGCTTGAAAGTCATTCTAGCGGCGGGGTCGCTGATGTCAGTGATACTAAAAGTGGAGGTCGCGCTTCTGCTGTAAGCTTTCGATGAAGGGTTGGAGGTGGAATCTAAGGTACGATTTCTGGCCACACCAGGGTACTGATCTCCGTTGTCACCCCTATCCTCGTTGCGCTCGAGGTCTTTCCGACCATCAGCTTGCACCAGGGCGACCTTGTAGTGCACCGACTCGTTCTGGTTGCTTGAAAGCGCGTCGTCTATGTGCCAAATCAAAAGACCGTCGCCGGGAAGGTCTGCATCACGCCCCACTTTGTGACGATTCTCCAGTAGCCAGTATTCCGTGGATGGGGCTCCTGTTTCTGTAAGCTTCATGATTGAGTGCCCCATTTTGACATCCGAGAGTGAAATGCTGCACATAGATCCAAACGTCAGGACACTCAGTGGAAGTTTCTGTGACAAGTGCAGGAGATAGACAGAATCCGGTTATAGAAACATACTTGTGTGTACCCTTTCCGTATGTTGACGCGGTAACCCACCCTTGGTTATATTTGCACCAGGCAGAAGGCGGCGACGGGTTGCTCTCATTCCCGTTATAAGACCCCGCTGCCATGAGGCACCAGTTTCCTATCCCTGCCGAACTATAATCCGTGTCATACAAATCAGGCCAGCTGAATGCGAGATGGCCTAACTCATGAGCACAAACGCCTAGTTTACAATCCCCTGGCACCGTAAGGTAAGGGTAGAGTGTGACCCCCTCGTCTTGGACCGCTGTCGATAGAACCCACTTGTGCGACCAAATATCGTCGACACTCGCCGACCTCTCTGCTCCCTGGCCAGCATGGATGATCACCAATGTTTCCACTGTGCCATCCTTGTCGTTGTCGTATTTGGAGAAATCGATGTGAGATTTCGCAAGGTTTGCTGCATCTGTTGCCATGAGCCTTGCGTTTGGAGTTGAACTTCCCAGCCCGTAGTAGCTGTTGGCGTAGTACTTGAGGGTGTGTGGCATTCGATAGGGGCCAACCACTTCACCCGAAATCGAGACCACTTTGTTGGACACCTCTGTGTAGAAGTCATTCACGCTGTTGACCCCAGAACCAAACCAGAGACTATTAAAATGAGCGGCAGTTTGATCCGAGGAGAACTGTTTGTCAGAGAAGTCGATCAGGATCACAGCCACGTTAATCGGACCCGTAAGCTTGGCTCGCAAGGGGGGACAAGTGGTCACCGGATGCGACGACGTTCCGTTGGTGTTTATGGCAGGGGGGACGCCGGGTGCGTGGATCAAGCCGTCGTTGAGTCCAGGTCTGCGCGGTTCAACAATGCGCAACAAGTTGCGCAAGATGGGGAGCTCCTCTCCTACTCGTTCCTTCACCTCGTTGAACTTTGCCGTAAGCGCGTTCAGTACATCTGGATGTGGAGCTACAAAGCAGGGCTCTTCCATACCATGCGCCGCTGGTCCAGACATCCATGCAGAAGATTCACATTCACGAACCCTACAAACGAGGGGCAGACATGCGTATGGCCAACGATCAGAACTTAACGATAAGACTGGATTTTTACCTGAAATTCCACACCACCATAAAACATACGACGAACATGATGTTGATAACATTCAATAGTCAAAGAATCTTATCAGCAGCGAGACACATTAAATTGTACGCACTTATTGGAAAGTGACGCGGCTCTACAAGCTTCACGGTGCATGGTTTGCTCCTCCTGGGCGCACTCCTTTCCTTTGAATTGCGCCATTACTGACTTCTCTTCTGAATTCGCAGATAGCCAAATTATTTCTGAGGTTCATCAAAGTACCAAACCTCTGCACTGGTCAGCAGATATGTAGAGCTTGCAAAAATAAATATTAAATGATCATTGGTGCATTGCATGATACAACTCTGAGCGCAGCTACTTATACAACGAACATAACTAATCACAAAATGAAGGCCACAACAATTGTACACGTTAAGACTGATTTGCATTCGGAAATATCCTGGCACCTGGTATGTATGGGTCAAGGAAACAATCCTCGACTCTCAGACTACTCTTGAGCTGCCTTCTCGACAGATGCCTTTTGAGAGCTTGTGAAGGTCCCTATAGCATCTGATGAAGCTGCTGAAGTTCGTGTACGCGTTTAAATACCTTTCTGGAAGAGACCGTTTAGAGTGACAGCGGCCAATATGGCCAGGATGAGCACAACGCCTGACTTGGCGAGCTCGTTTGCAATTTCTTGTCGTGTAAACTACACATCGAAGTTCCACACAAGGCATCATGCGTTCGTCAAATGTAGAAGACACGCGGGCCAACCATGTCCAACAGAGGGAGTAGTAACTTGCACGGAGCCAAACAAGTACCGTGCCTCCCATGAAATAATACTGCATTCTAATTTGTGCTTGTTTTTATTTGTTTTTTTAACATATGCACTTGTGGGTACACAGTGACAGCTGAAGCAGTTCATCCTTGAGAAGACCACAGAAGCCTGACGCAACACACAAGCTGGGTGCAGGAACAGTAACTTTAATCAGCAGGGGGGAGACAGTGGGTCCGTCCCCAGACTTTGGAACACAGCTTAACTGCTCGACTCAACGAAGAGAATCAACATTGAATTACTCAACCTCCAACAACAATAGAAGTAAAGCGCCTGATCAGAATGTGTTTCACACATAACGCGTTTGAGGGACCCAACGTGAGTGCGCCTGAAATCTTTCTAAACAAATTGCACAAATCCTAAGTGCTCAACCACTCGTCCGCATCCTGAATCAATGCTTATATTTCAACGAAACATCTAGCATTTCCAAAGCGCAGAAGTAGAATTGCCTCTGTTGTGAGATGAAAGAGCTGACAACATACAAATCAGGTTTCCAATGGTTCCATAAAATTGCCTACCACGAGCATCTAGAATCTTTGGCTACAGTCGCAGTGTCCTTATATCAGTGGCGAGGACTATGCATGCAAACTGTGACTCCGACGATTGTAACGTAGAAAAAACGTGATCAGGTTTTTTAGGCATCTTAGATCATGTGGATCTGACCTATTCACAACCCCAGTAGCAATCTGAACGCTAGATTGTTGCAACTTATTCTGCAAGAACAGTGGATTATGGGAGAAAAAAACATGGGTCTCGCATGAATGCTAGTTTTGTGGACAATCTGAGTGTGTTGCTTAAACTGCAAGTCCATGAAGTTTAAAACATCAAACCAAAAAAATGATTTTTATACTGATTTTTTATTTTTATTTTTATTTTCGATACTGTTGTGTAAATGCTTATACAAACTTTACACTCAATCAATATAATTATATATAATGTCTTTATTTTCAGTCTTAATTTATAAAACTTGTTATGTTTGTTGTATGTGTTTGTTTGTATGTATTTGATGTGTAGTATTTTACTCTTTTTAATCAACCAGTGATTATTTATTTATTTATTTGTTTTCATTTCTTTGTTCAAAATCTAAAATGTATTAATAAAATATTATTAATGCTTGAATCTATATTAACATTTTAATGATAATGACTTTAAATTTATTTTAAAAGATTTAAATTTATCTCATTCCAAAAATTATTATTTTTATTAGAATAAGATTTTTAGTCATTCTATATAATTAAAAAATTTGAAAATTTTATTTTAGAAAAAATAATTCTTATAAACTTTTAGATATTTAAGTAATTTTCTAAAAATCAAAATAATAATTGATATTTTATAATTTTTTTGATTAAGATGTAAATATATCAAGTGTATTTAAGTATTTTAAATTAGGTAATAAAATTAATTGAATCATTTTAGAATTATATATAAATATTTCAATCATCACAAAATTTAATAAATATCTTATAATATAGTAGATAAAATCATTCACTTCAAAAGAAGTGGTAATTTTTTTTATAATTTTTTAACAAAAAAATTATTAAAATACTAATTGACAATGATTTTTTTAAAAAAAATAATTATAATCCTAAAAAAAAGTTTGAAGAATTTTTAATTTTTTTTTAAAAAAATATCATTATAATTAAAGACATTATTAGTATATTTATAAATTTAAATATATATATTTAGATTTAAATACTCATTAATAAAAACTTAAAATATGTTTTAAAGTATAATTATAAAGTTAATATATATATATATATATATATATATATATATATATTGATGTCTAATATAATTATCAAATATATCAATAATATCAAATTTAAGAATTATATTTTAGTAAAAAATTGATGTCACAAACGTACATATTTATTACAATAATCATCTTTGTAATTAAGTAGAAATAGACAAAAATATATTAATTTCATAATATCTTCTAGACAAGCTTCTTAGAAGCTTTATAGACACTGCTTTTATTTTACACATATTTATAATTAATTGGTAGATTAAAAACTTAATCAATAAGTTAGCCACGTGATATACATATTAATAGCTTGTGGAATAAACTAACTATGTGGCATACATATAAATAACTTGCTTTGCAAGTTAACTCATGTGTCTAATAAAATCAACACGTGTTGGAGGTCTTATAGAATATCACTACATAATCCATAGTTAGAAAGTATATATGGAGGCAAGAGTAAAATCTTCTTCATACTTGTCAATGTTTTTTTAGTCTTTAGTCTTCTTTCAAGACTTTTTAGTCTTTTTGTTATTTTGTCTTTAGCAATAGCTAATCTAATTTAATATTATATTATTTTTAAGTGATTTTTTAGTCTTTTTTATTGGCATAAGAGTGTATTGATATTTTAATTTTTTGAAATTCATATCCTTGACAGTTTGACAAGAGTGCTAACTCATTATTCTAATCTTGTTGTAGAAGCAAGTGAATTACTTCACTTCTATTTTTGTATTTTAAAAATTTCAAATTATCCACCTTTAAATAATTGTTTAGTTTTTTAACAGTGATTTTTTCTTTAAAGAGAGTGGATTATTTTTCTTTGTGGAAATTTTTATTTAATAATAGAAGTTGCAAATTACCTTCTTTTAATTTGACTTATAGATTTATTAACTTATTTGAAATAGAAGAAAAAATCATAGATGCTATATTTGCCAAAAATGAGAATAGATTTGTGACTATTGCAATTCTTCATGAACTTGTCAATACTCTTAAGATGAAAATTTTACACATCACTAGTACTAACCATGGAAATACTAATCCTATGCCTATGGAAGAAATTTAAATTCTATATCAAGAAGTTGTGTAATTAAAGGAAGCAAGTAGTTTGACCTCACAACCAAATCTAAGAATTTTTTCTTCTTTCAATATGATGTGGACAAGAATTAGTATACCCAAGAAGTTTGATGGAATAAGTTTATTCCTAGAAGTATTTACAATCACATTTAAAAAAAGTAATTAAAAAGAATAGTAGAGAGTAAGCTCTTATCTTTACAACAAGGTTTATAATCAGCCAACATATATGCTGTTGAATTCCAAAATCATGTTTGCAACATAGACTGGAATGATATGGCCCTAATCAATCAATTTTGATATAGATTGAATGATAATGTTAAAGATTTGTTATTGAAAATGCCTAAAGAAAAATCTTTGAAATAATTTATTGCTCAAGCTATTACATGCAATAATCAATTATTTAAAAGGCATCAAAAATAAAGACTTAGATAAAGAAGAACAAGTCAAGTAACAAGAGTAGCTCCAAATTTTTCAAAAACTAATTCATCAAGGCCAAAATCAATGCAAATTAATACAATATGTTTTAAATTCTTCACCAAGTAGGAAAAAACTCAACGTTGTCAAGAAGGTTTGTGCTTATATTATTGAGAAGTTAAGCACATTACTCAATATTATTAAGACAAGCAATGCAATCACAAAATGAGCAACATGATTGCTAAAGAAGACAATATGTTAAAAAACAAGTTTTTCCAACTACAATAGAGACCATTGTTATATGGCATGATTTATGATTTGAAAATATATTATATACCTAATTATAGAAAGTTTAATATTAATTTATTTACCAAGCTCTAATAAATGATTTATTCTTAAAATAAAAAAAATAAATATAACAACATCAAAAGATATTTTATTAATAAAATCCTTTTATATTTAATAAGGTTTATACACAAGGCTTTCTAAAGCATCTAAAAATTTCCTAACATCCTTTGTTATAACAAATCATAACCAATTATTTGTTAATAAGTTAGATTTTTAATAATTTTAAAAAAAATCTTTAATTTCTTTTTAAAAATTCATCTTTCTATCAAAAATTTATTATAGCCTCATAGTCCATTTTTAAAATATATAAAGTCTTGGCTCTTAAAAATCATTTAGTTTATACAAAAGATCTAAAATTATGATCAAAATCCTCCCATCTATAACAAGGTATAGATAAGATATTTGTATTATTGATACATAAGAATAGATAGTTAAAACCATGGAAGTTTCTAAAATTGAGATTAGATTAGTGGATTATATAGGATCCATTGTAGAATATTCTAAAAAGAAATTAAGGTAATTATCTAGGAAGAGCCCACCATAGAACCTTCTAAAATAGCCTTAGGATAGTTATTTAAGTAGGGCCTATTATAGAACCTTCTAGAAGGAATTTAAGGTGGTTATCTAAGTAGAGTCAATCATCTAAGAACATTTTAGAAAGTTCAAGGTAGTAGAATAAAGCATAAATTGGACTAACTAGGATCTTTTGGGAAATTTGGTCAAGTATAGCTTCAGATCTTTTTTCTTAGTAAAATTTGATTTTATATCCTTCTGTTTAGTTTTGTTTTGTTTTATTTTTGTTTGTTCAGTTTTGTCTTTTATGAATTATTTTTGTTAATTCTATTTAATTTTGTTGACTTTTTTTTTAGTCTATTTTGTTCTACTTTGTGATGAGGCTTTATGTTGCTATAGATTTTGAAGGATCTTAAACACTTCAGATAGAGGGATCTTGTTTCATTGGTATAAGAGCAAGTATTAGAGTATTTTTTTGGTAGTATATTGATAGTCATCATTTAGTGTAAGGTCAATTGTTGTGATCACATTGGATACTGTGTTGAGGCTATTACATGCTATTCTTAAAAAGTCAATTGAGAGGTGAGAAAACATTATAATAGTGGAGCCTAGTGGAGAAATTATAGCATAAGAGATGTGGTAGAGCAATCCTAGATTGAGGCTCAAATGCAACACTTTTTAGACTAGATAGCTACTTTACAAAGATAAATTGAAGCTTCGAGGACAAGGGAGTCGATATTTGTTAGGTTGAAATTGAATAAGCTTAGTACATACTCTGGGACTTCAAAACAAGATATTGTATGTCAACATGCAATAAGACCTCTAATTGTATAGAACAAATATCATTGAAGGAATTATATATGTAGTCAATTATTTGAAGAATATGGTAGCGATTTAGTGGCAACATTGAGTTCAAAGTCATGGAGCTCAAAATAGATTTTGTGATTGAAAGGAGTTTGAGACTGAGTTTAGGAATCAATTTTGGCCCATCAATGTGGAGAAGATACTATGTAATTAGTTGGCAAATCATATACAATCTAAATTAGTACAAGATTATGTTTCCTATTTTAAGTTCCTATGTCTCATGATTCAAGTCCCTATATCTCCAAATTACCAATATTTTGGAGGCAGAGATGATGGATCAATTCTTACAAGGTTTGAAACCTAGAGTCTAGAGAAAAGTAAAACTAAGGGATCCACAAAAAATTAAAGAGGTAATTTGGATTGTAAAGAAGATTGATACTATAGATTTCAAAAATCATAGAGCATGACCTATAGTATGAAGTCATATGTTTTCTATCTAATACTATGGCACAACAATCAATGCCAATGGAAATTAATACCTTATAAGGATCATTGATACCACAAAAATGACAAATATTAGTGCAAAAGGGATTATATTTTTATTGTTGGGAGTTAGGT